CCCCCCCCCCAGCAGTGTGGGAGATGAATTTAAGACAACTTCCAACTAATTAGAGTGTATACATGAAAAATTGTTTTTTAAAATTGTAACTTTCCATGTATGGTATCTAATTATTGTGGGTGGTCATCTTAAATTCAGAGTTGTCTTGGATTCAGGTAAATACAGTACATGCCTGGTACATGCATGTTCCCCTTCTAAGCATGTACCAGTGTTTAATCCCTGAAAATGTAGGCAGGCCAAAACCTTGTTTACAGATGTTAGACTGTAGAGGAGAAGGACCCTCTCATGTTATAGCTCCAATAACTGAGTGGGTAGGTCACTTGCCTGAGAAGCCAGAGACCCCAGTTCTAGACCCCTCTTGCCAAATGCGAATGTTTGACTTTGCAGCTCTCTAACCACCGCACCAGGAATCAGGTATTATCCAGATTCCACTCCCATGTTCCTTTTGAAGTTGGTTTCCTGGACAGCCAAGAGAAGGAGATATGTGGGGTCAGGAGAAAGCAAGCCAGAAGGTTTATGGCTCAGTGAGAATTCTGCAGGCCTGGAAGAAATGGAGACCTGTATTCTAACTTGGATGCTTGGTCCCAGCAAGGCAGAAACTTTGGCATGATATTGCCCTCCATCCATTTTTCCATTGAGTATTAAATGGAAGGGCAAGTAGTTCAGCTTCAAAAGAAGCACCAGAGAAGGGCACAGGGAATGCCTGACCCAGTTGAACTTCTGTGCTGGGAAGTCAAGAGATGCAGGTTCCAATCCCTAAGTGAGTGGGGGAAAAGGACTTGCATCTTTAGCTTCGCAATTGAGCGCCCACACACTCAGTGCAGCTAAAGCATGGGAAGGCCTTCCTTTTCTATTTTGTTTCCAGAATTTGTACTCAGGTACATGTATACATAATTGTCTACATCCACAGTGTTACGTGTCCAGGAAACAGAATCCCTACCTGCATACAAATACCAAAAACGCCACTTAAAAAACTAAAAACAGACTCATATAACCAAAGGGAAATATGATGCTGCCCAGGTGTCCTATTCTCTGGTCTCTGACTTGTAATCAGTTTCAAGGATAAAGGAGGCCATTTTTAAGGATGGTAAAAGATGTTTTTCCTGCATGTAATAAGTCAGAAAGTAGCAATATGATGAACCAAATGTGGAAAATAAATGCCTCAGAATAATTTTCTATTCTTAAAATAAAAGCTGTCACTTTTTTCAGCTTGCCATGGACCAGTGGAGTAGGAAGGAGCACCCATAGGCCACAAATCTGGATATATTCTCCTTAGCAGTATTGCTCAGGAGACATTTTGAGTATAGGAGCCTGCAGGTATGGAAGTGAATCTGGACTAGATAGACCTGAGAGAATATTAAATACAAGAAATAGTCATTTGCCTGCTTCTTGAAAGAATTTTAATATTTGAACAAAAAATGTTTCACTCCTCCTTTTAGGAAGGTTAAAAATGAATTTAGCAAATAAAATGTCACTCCTTCTTCAAAGAAAGACATTTTCATTTTTTTCTTTTTGTTGACTAAGCTTCATTCCTTGACATCTTGACATGTCTTTGTACCTTATTCCATTATGTTGTGTAAATATTCATTCTTTTCAAATCCTTTATGATTTTAGATGAATCTTTCTATAACAGGAAGTTAGTTAAAAGATTAATATTTTTTCCCAACAAAATTCAGATTTGTCACTTCTGTTGTCAATTAATATTTAAATTAATCAATGTCATCATAGATTCCATTCAGTGACATTTCACAAATGTTTATATTTAGGTTTTTACTGAACTTGAGGTGGCAGCCAGCTGATTTTGCAGACAGATCCGAGGGCTGGCCAACGTTTTCATGGCTGAGTACAGCAGGCCCCCTCAGCTCTTGGCTGCAGAGCCCCAGTAGTCTTGCCCCTCCCCCTGATTGCCAGATAACCCCAAACTGCTACTTAGATTGTAATGCATCAATTAACAGTTTCTGCAGGCTTAATCCCCTAATTAAGCTAATGGAAGCCATTAATTGACATGTTGTTAAGCAATTTAAGTGGTGGTTAATGGCTTCTGCAGGCTTAATCCCCTGATTAAACCTGTGGAAGTCATTAATTGAGGCATTATTGAGCAATCTTAAGTAGTGGTTAAAGCCTTCTGTGGACATAATCAGGGGATTAGGCCTGAGGATGCTATTAACACATTATTAAGCAATCTAAGCATTTAATTAAGCTCTAACATGAAATATTAAAATAAAGCTATGCACACCATGAATTGTAACAAATACCAATTATACACAGCTTATTAACTAATACCAACTACATGTTCTTTGTTAATACCATCTATATATGTTTCATAAACTAATACCATCTAAGTGCTTAATTAAGCTCTAAACTGAGATATCTTATAAAAATAGAGCTATACATAACATAAATTATAACTAATACCAACTATGTACACTTTAATAAAGAACATTATAAAAAGGAGTTTACTGAAACTGAATGCTAACCTTGAGAGAGGCAATTCATGCTAACTATTAAATGCAAGTATGCTGCACCCAGCTGCAGTTGCTGCAGATATTCTCTGTCTCTTTGGGGTGAACACTACAGTGAGATGGCATGTTCAACATCCACTGAGTTTGTTGGAATGGTGAAGCAATGTTTTGCCAGGGCATCAAAATGTAGAAACCAATCACAGACAGAATCCCAACACACAGGCCCAGGAAGCTTGCATTTTTTGGCAAAGTTCAGGTAAGCAGCCTGTTCATTGTCACGCTCTTTCCCCCATCCCAGAATTGCTTTCAATAGCTGTGTCACAACTCAGAATAGGTACCTGGTTGGGGTCCAAAACACAAACAGCGCTAAGGAAGGGGGAAGCGGTGGCTGTTATGATTCATACCTGCAGTATTGGTTCTGCTTAACCGCTATTACCTGGAACAGGTCCCTTCTGCACTGATTTTCACAAGGAAAGCTTGATAGTTCTTGCGATACACTGTCTTCAACCCATTTTATCAAATCCATCAGCTTTTTGTGTGGGTGGTGGATCACAGCCTGCCAATCTTCAAGCCTCATCAGGAGTTCCATGAACTGGGTGCCATTGTCAACCACAAACGTCACTTGATCTTGAATGTTGCCTCACCCTAAGAGATTGTGAAACTTAAGTATGCGCTATCTGCTGAGTGTGACTTCCAACTTCTCGCTCACAAACTGCTGGTAGTGTTGCATATGCTTGATGTGATAATGGACTGTGCTGAATGGCCTTGGGTCCACTACAATCTGCTGGCTGGGAAATTGGCGTCGTGGTCAGACCCAGAGGGTGATAATTGACGGAAGTCAATCGTCATGGTGCCTTGTGACCAGTGGGGTCCCCCAAGGCTCTGTCCTTGGACCCATATTGTTCAACATCTTCATTAATGATGTGGACATTGGAGTCAGAAGCGGACTGGCAAAGTTTGCTGATGACACCAAACTTTGGGGCAAAGTATCCAGACCAGAAGACAGGTTGGTGATCCAGGCTTACCTGCACAGGCTCAGCAAATGGGCGGACGAGAACCTGATGGTGTTTAACACCAAAAAATGCAAGGTTCTCCATCTTGGGAGGAAAAACCTGCAGCATCCTTATAGGTTCGGCAGTGCTATGCTCGCTAGCACTACAGAAGAAAGAGACTTGGGGGTCATCATTGACCACAAGATGAACATGAGCCTGCAACGCGGTGCTGTGGCTAGTAAAGCAACCAAAATGCTGGCTTGCATCCATAGATGCTTCTCAAGCAGATCCTGGGACATCATTCTCCCCTTGTACTCGGCCTTGGTGAGGCCGCAGCTGGAGTACTGCGTCCAGTTTTGGGCTCCACAATTCAAAAATGATATGGAGAAGCTTGAGAGAGTCCAGAGAAGAACCACATGCATGATCAGAGGTCAGGAAAGCAGACCTTAGGATGACAGGCTGAGAGCCATGGGGCTTTTTAGCCTGGGAAAGCACAGGCTCAGGGATGATCTGATGGCCACCTATAAGTTTATCAGGGGTGACCAGCAGTATCTGGGGAAACGTTTGTTTACCAGAGCGCCCCAAGTGATGACGAAGTCGAAAGGTTATAAACTACTGCAAGACCGTTTCAGGCTGGACATAAGGAAGAATTTCTTTACTGTCCGAGCCCCCAAAGTCTGGAATAGACTGCCATCGGAGGTGGTTCAAGCACCTACACTGAACACCTTCAAGAGCAAATTGGATGCTTATCTTGCTGGGATCCTATGACCCCAGATTACTTCCTGCCCTTTGGGCGGGGGGCTGGACTTGATGACCTTCTGAGGTCCCTTTCAGCCCTAATGTCTATGAAATCTATGTATCACAAATTCCACCATGCGATGTCAGGCTCTGGTAGCAGCAGCACAGTACCATGTAAGTTCCCACTTTGACTGGCGACAGACTCCCAGGACCTTACAGCCTGGACAGTGCTTCAAAGTTTTCTTGAAAAAAGGCATCAGTCTATCCACACTGGGGAACTGTGTGCCCCAGATGTCACTTACTAAGGACAGAATGTGCTCTTTACTAGGGCTGTGCGAAGCTTCAGTAGCTAATTCGGTTCGGAGGAGATTTGGCCCGATTTGGCAGCTGACTGTCTGAATCCGAATTGAATCAGGAGACCAATTAAAAGGTCCAAATCGAGTCAGAAGCCTAGAAATTGATTTGGAAAAGATTTGGTGCTGCTTCAGAGATTCAACGCTGCTTTGGCGATTCGGCCATAGACTAAACAGGCAGTAGTCCTCACCATGCTGGATACAGCTGCCTCCGGCTGGTAAGTCTGTTGTGGTGAGAGGAGGTGGGGAGGGGCGCAGATCAACACCCCCACAGTGAGGGAGGGGTTGGGGCTGAGACAAGTTGCCTAGCCAGGGTGCGTGGGCATGGGACTCGGAGAGAGGGGCAGGGAGGGTGTGGGACATGAGTGCAGCAGTGCTGGGAGCGGGGACTATGCCCTGCCCTGCTGTCACTTACCCAGCTGGGCACGGGGGGAGGGGTGCAATGTGGGCGCAGCTCACTCCAGGCAGAAGGGTGTTTGCCTCCTGGAGCACAGCCCAACCCTGCCCACCCTGCGCAGATCCAGTGGCACACTCTTGTTCCTATGCCATCTCGGACTGGCAGTGCACGGTGGCAGGAGTTCCCCTCCCTGAGTCCCGCACCCCAGCTGGGTAGCTTGTCCCAGCCACAATCCCTCCCGTGCTGTGGGGGCGTTGATCTGCCTCCCCCCATGCCCTTTCCCTTCCTCCTCCGCCCACCACAACAGACTTACCAGGTGGAGGCAGCTGTGTCCAGCATGGTGAGGACTGCTGCCTGTTTAGTCTGTGACTGAATCTTTGGATCCGATTTGGCTGAATCAAATTGGGACAGTGATTTGAATCTCCAAATTGAATCACTGTCCCTCCAAATCGGCAAAATGCAAAGTGAATACTTGCTGCTTCGCACAGGCCTACTGTTTACAGGTGACATGAACAGCATTGGACAGCATTCCTTGGAGCACATTGGAGAAAGCCTTGCATATGTAAATACTATTGCCAGAGAGGAATGCTGAGGTCTTGTTAAAGTTCTTGTTAAAATCTATGCCATAGCTGACAATTCCCTTCACAATGGTTTGAGACAAAGTAGAAGACAGACGTGATGTGAATCAGCTCAGTTTGAAACACAGCCAACCTGTCCATTTTATCTTGAGGGTAGTTGAAGAAGGAGTCATACTCTGTCAAGGCCGCCTTTGTGGACTATACATGCGAAGCAGGGAGTCTTAGCAAAGCTTCTTGGCATGCAGAAAACTACTAGCACTTGGCACATTTTGGTTCAGGTAGTCCCTTAACTTCCGGTGATAAAGTTTCTTCAGCAGGATGTTTGCCATTGCTAAAGCCTTCATGAAGGAAAATGCTCTCTCTTGCCTTGCCAGGTTGTTTTCTGTAGTCCTTTTAAAGAGGAAGGACATGGGCACTTGTTTGTTGCTCTGAACTTCAGCATCTGCTACAGCCTTCCGCTTCACGTGTGCCTCAGACTTGAACTGTCAATCTGTGCTAGTTTTCTGTGGCACATCCAGTTGCATTGCAAGCAGTACAGAAGAGTCTGCCTCCACGTGCGTGCAAGGTCAATACAGGATACTATGTTACATGGTCCAGTGCTGAAACATATTTGTCTGTTTTAGAGGATTTCTTAGTGTTCATCTTTGTTCCTCCTCAGGCTGCATCATGCATGCTGTAGCAGCATGTCTACAAAAGCCAGCACCTAAACACACACTCCCCTGCCCAGCCCTGGACTGGCTCCTGGATTTGAGCCTATATGAGAGGCTCAGCCTCTGACTTGCTCCCTCTCCCCTCTTCTCCCCCCCGATCCCCCTCCACAAGCTTCAGGACTCCGGGGTTTCCTGCCATTTTCTCTTCTTGCAGCTTTTTTTCCAGCAAGCCTGCCAAAATCACAGAGCCTGTGCTTTTTTTGCAGACCCCACTTGAAATCACATTTTCCACAAAAATTGCATAATGGTGATTTTGGTAGGTCCCTATATTGAATAATTAGAATATGTAAGATGTGTATTTCAGTGTTATATGTTCATATCTAAGTGGTATCCAAGTCACTGATCTGAAACTTATAGAGCAGTAAGAAGCATCATCTCCCTTGTGGTTTCTGTTTAAAGTTCATGTTTGGTTTTTAGTTTCGGTAAACAGAGTTTTATTAAAAGAAAAGTTGTGAGAATGGAAGAATTAGAAACTGACAACAGGTTATAGAGACTTTTACCTTTAGGTCATTGGCTTGAATCTAAAGTAGGTTATCAGTGATTGAAGTTGTAACCGTCTGGTTGTTTTACACAGCCTGTCTGAATGATACTGATGGTCTCAGTGTGATTTATAGATGTCTATACCACAAGTGTCATAATTACCCATTTTTGGCCTCTTCTTGCCAAGTTCGTTTTGACAAAAAAATTCTTTAGAGGAGAAACCACTACAATTATTTTAAAATCCTTGGTAATAATAGTGTGTAATCAAAATTGATCTGTTACTAATATTTTATTGATTTTTTTTTTCTTTAGTTTTGTCATTCAAATTCTTCTAAAAATACATTTACATAGTTATTTGTAATGGTAGAGTTCATTTTCAAGCAGTAATTGTAGTGGTTTGAGTTACAATAAGCTTTCAATATCTGTCCTTCTCCTCTGTGATATTTCTACCACTAGAGAAGCCCAGCTTGCAAGATCTAATTACAGTAGAATTTTGATTCCCTCAGCTATGTTATTGGCAGGAATTTGAGCCTGTTACATTTGAAAAGATGTCACAGTTGTATAGATAAATATAGACATATATAATCTGTTTTCAAACTTGTTTGGGGTGAAATCAAGTGTTGGACAATGTCAAATGTTCTTACAGCAAGTTCAGAAGTGTCCAGACTGATTGAAACATGAAATTCTAATTATTTGCAATAGGAATATAAATAAGGTGGCACCAAGCCTTATTTGCAATGAGTAATGAAAGCTGTTGTACTGTAATCAGAGTGATACAGAGCAACAGGGCAATTCATTAGGAAAAATGTGCTTAACAAACAGCTAATACATGCCCATTTGGACCTCTTCTCCTTCGACTTCACATTATGTCCCCTTTTTTTGTTAATGCTTATAAGTAATTTCTTTATGAGAAAAAGTAACTAGCAATAAAGCATTTCTCCTTGTTGAATCCTCCCAAAACATGCAAAATATGTAGAGGAGATGTGTTACCCTTGACTTTACTATGTATCGCCAAATCTGCTTGTCATGTTGATAAAATATACTGTATTTGTGAGCTGCTTCTGTGAGACCTGCAGTTCAATATAGTATTTAAGCTTCTGCTTAAGTACCCAGACTTCAGGAGTATGTTTAACTTTTATGTTTAATTAGGCTGATTTAAAATAAGTTTAAGTATATACTTAGGTGCTTTGAGTCAGGACCTCAGTGAACTAACTGGTGCAATCTTTAACATGCCAACCCCACCAACAGTATTGTTACCAATTAGTGTTTTAAAATCAATGCTAGCCATGCAGAATGTTAACATTTGTAGTTGATCGTAATTTTTCATATGATTTCAAAAATAATTATAAAAGATGGGGGGTTATTATTTTGCTGTAGCAAATGAATGTCTGAGAATTGAGCCATTTAAGCTTAAAGCATAAAGTTTCTGCTATCCAGAATGCTGCATTAAGCCATATTATTTTATCATTTTTTGGAAAAAAATGTATCAAACTTGCAGATAATACTGGGATAACTGATGCAAAATATACTCTTACAAGCAATTCTTTCAAAGAATGTTTATACTAAGCGGTGAAAGTACAAAATTCAATATATTACAGTATTTATCAAATTGGCATTTACTGAAAAGATTTGATAGAAGTAAAAAGAAAAAGTGGTATATTTTCCCAGTTTTTATGAAGTTAAGAAACTGTTATTTAGAAGAAAGAACTTACCGATTCGTTGTGATGCTAATTACCGATGCTTATAAATATTTGTTTCACTTTAACAGAACAGTTTCACAAAAGAGTTAGCACCTCAGCAAATTTAGTGTAACACCAAAGCCAAACAAATAGTTGTAGCTATTCAAGCTGAGTTATGCTATCAGATTTTTATAGTGACCAGTTAAAGTAAGTAACAATTCTAGAATTTATTTTGTACAAAGGTTATGGCATTGGGATCATAATACCTGAGTGAAATTGGCTGGTTTTACTTAATAAGGATAAGTAGCATGTGTTACTTGTAGAACTTTTCCATTCAGAGTAGATTGCAGCAAGTTTTAGATTAGATGCCAGTCTGATTGTATGAGGATGAGTCAGTTTGCCAGCACCTAAGGCCCCTGACACATGTTACACTTAAGGTGGGATTAACTGATTAACCCTGTCTTAAGTTTTGACCTGCCCACATGTTCGTTCAATTAATGGTGTGATAAAACCATAAAATTTTATTTGGTAAATTTATGGGAGTGTGCTCCAGAGGCTGGGAACTCTAGTCAGCTGATCGGGGAGTCCCATCAATGGAAGCACAGTGAGCCCCCCTATCTGGGAGCCCCAATCAGCTGATGGAGCTCCCAGCTGCAGAGGTGCACACTGCCCTCCCATGGCTAGGAGTTCCAGCAGTGATCAGAGCTCCCAGCCACAGCAGTTCACCATATGCTCCTGTGGCTGGGAGAGCTGTCAGCTGACACGGCTCCCGGCCACAAGAATGAAGACTGACAGTTCAAGGGGGAACGGGGGTTCCCCTGTACCAGCAATATGGCATGATTGGATCTCTCACCTTCACTGTGTGGCATGGCAGGAGGCGCGGTTGTTGGGATTTTGCATCAGATTCCATCATGCCTTCTTTTTAACATATGTCAGTGGCCTAAGTGGAATAAGAATGCAAGAACGTACAGCATAATTATGTAGCAATAGAAGGAAAAGAACTAAAATACAATTGCAAATGAGGATAGAGATAGATAGTACAATTTTGGCCCATTTCTTCACTTTTTTTTCTCCTTCAGTTTCCCCTAGCAATGGCCCCTGCTCCCTATGAGCCTGTGCTGTTTTCAGAATGGGAGTGGGGAAAGGGAGCAGAGGGAGCTAGTTTTAGGGGTTCCCCAGCCAGTGTTGATGGGTGAATTGGAGTCCCCTCCCTGTGAACGAGTACCCTCGT